AGCACACGGTCACCAAGGCGCCAACCCAACCTCTTGTTTTATTTGAGCTCGCTCCACATGTTCCCGCTGATAGGTAACATTAGGATGTCCAGACAAGCAAACTAAAATCACAGAATAAGATAAATTAGTGATGTTGACCCCAAAAAAATAATATAGGAAATTAGTGATTCGTCCCTTATAGATAGGCTATAGCTTAGGATGTGTCGTATTATTGTACATAGGCCAAGCCCAACCCAGTTGTCGCTTTATAAAGATGGTCAAGTTTGATATTCTAATTACTCTAATGTATGAAGATGATAGTCGAACTCGGGTGCAAGGAGGTTGGCACATTGTAAGCCTAACTCATGTCTTTTTTTTTGTTCTTCTTGTGTGTGTGATGAATCGTGAACCTACACGTACCTATGTGCAGACGAAATGCCCTGTGATTGGGAAGGTGCTTCCAGAAAGAAAAGATAATAATGGAATGGGGGATGAAGAAAGTGGTGATGATGGGGGATGGGGATGACTTGCAGAAAGAAGAGACAGTAGTGATGAGAAGGGGAAATAAAGAGAGCAGTAGTGGATATAGCTGAGTGAGTGACTGTGAGAGCATGATGTGCAAATCAGTAGGGCCCTAATAATTAACAAGTTCCAGTCCTTTGGATTTTATTGATTTGAATGTACGAGGAGGTATCAACGCCACTCAAAAACACAAAGGAAATAATGCAACGAAAAAGGAGGGAATTGCATCAGTTAAAGGTAGTAAGCCAGAAAAGAATACAAGATTGTGTGACACTATGATTACTGACCTTGAAGCCTAATTATATAGATAATTGATGTGTTCATTTATATTTTATATTGTATATATGTGTTAGGCTAAGTTCGAATGCCCCTCTCCGTACAGAAGGACGGACTTACCGTCATAGCCGGTTGGCTTAACACATGCTATTCTTGTAATTACTTAAAACTTTTTATATATATCGTAATGTTTGTTTTGCACCTAACCACAAAGCTTACCTTCACATACACAAAAATTCGTTAGAAATCAATTGTTCAATTTTTTCCCTTTTTTACTTCGGTCAATAAAATAACATCAATTAAAATGGAAAAAAAATCTGAACCTACAAACCGACAGTCACGGGTCCCTAAAAAGCAAAATAGTCAACCGCCGCGCTTTTCTCTCTTCTTCTCCTCCTCCGTCAACTTTCCCGCAGAACTCCGCGCCAGCGCACGTTAGCGCACCGAATATCCCTCCGTTTCCTTCGTTCTCATTCACACACACTGTCACTCTCTCTCTCTCTCTCGTCTCTCATCATCATCACGTGACTCTCACGTGAAGGAGGGCCCGTCCTTCTCCAAATCCATGGACGACTTAGCGGAGGCCGGAATTGACGCGTACCGACAGGAGAAATCCCTGTACAAGTAATCGTCGTCCAAATTACCGCTTTGCCCCGGGCCCTCGTCGAAGTTGAGGGAGTAACTCATGGGGTCGTAATGGAATTTGGAGGAGCGCTTGTTGGCGGTGCTCTTGTTGAAGCGGCGGATGAAGGTCTTCCACTTGGGGCCCGCCACGACTTCGGACCACTCCCGGATCTTCTTCCAGCCCCGGTTCCACCACGGATCTCCGTGGTCGCCGCTGTTCCGGATCCGCTCCCAGGACCCGTCCATGGAGGACGGTTCGGAGCCGAAGCAGGGCATCCATAAACAGCACCCGCTTGTCTTGGCGGACATCAACTCCTCGACATCATCGGATTCGGCAAGGTCCGGTTTTGGAGGTGGAACGGCTTGGTAGGCGGCGGTTTTCGGCGGCATTTATTGACAATTAGCTAGGGCTTCTTAATCTATCAGAATGTTTTTAAGGATTTAAGGCGGTTCCTTAAATCCTTGTGTTTCTGCAAGCTCTAGCCCTTTGGTTGGTCGGCCTGTTTGTGTTTGTGTTTGTATACGAATATATATGATTTGTGAGAAATACAGGTCTCTCGGTTTGTAACGGAAATCTCGCTGGACATGGAAATGCATTACTGGCCCCCAGGTGTCAATTACGGGGCCTTCCTTCTCCTCCTTGTAGTATTTGGCTTCCATCTTTGTACGAACTTTGCTTGTTAAACAAAAACAGATACAGAAATGCAACTTAACGCTTATAACTTTAATTAAAAACAATAATATTATTGTGATTGTAAGTTAACTGCTTAACGCCCGAATTTGGTGATTTTAATTAGCAAATAGTCCCGCTGTGGCGCAACAAGTCAGGTCATATGACAAAAGATTTGAATGACACTGGATAACATTGTTTTACTATTTTCATCCAATTATGCACTATTATATTGAATCTTTATCAAACGTGATGAAATATAATTCACTACAAATAACAAAATGATGTTATTCTCATGGTATACGAGTTTTTATCTGTCATATATATGGTCGCATGCAGTGCGTGATTATGTTTTGGTCATTTCGTAATTAATTTCCGCTGTCTGTAGCTGGCACCAATGCATTAACTGACATCCAAGAATCAAATAGGCAATGGTCGGTGGTGGTATAATCATATTATATATACTACGAGGAATCTCTGATTTAATCATATTCATAATTCTGAGGGTTCATCAATTAGGAGCTTGTTTATTGTTAATTAATTAATTTTACTAAATAGATTGGCTGCTTTTAACTCAAGTTAGAAAATGAATTGATCAGCAGCAGCATTGGGCATTGGGCACTGGGCATTGCGCGCGCTACCTGTTGCATGCATGATGCATCTGGATTCTGGCCAAGAAAAAATGGCAGAAAATATAACACGTGTTTTTCGGTCACCTCTCTCTTCTGTTCGTTTTCTCTCCTTAATTTCTGGCTATTTTTGTAAAATTGCTAAAAATAAATACACGTTGTGAAGATTAGATTTCCATGGATCTCTTTCCATTTTGTCAAAGGAAATATGTTGACTAAATTAACCTAACATTAAGCAACTTTTTCTTTCTTTGCTTGGACATGAAGCACATTAAATTGTTTTGCTTGGACATGAAGCATAATGTATTGTTGACTTTGGAGGAGATCAACTTCTCTTTCTTTCTTCATCAATTTTGTAATGACTGGGTTGCTCTCTCAAATTTCTCCCTTCTTTTTCCTCCTGCGTGCTAGGAATGTCAAATCTGATGTTTTGGAAAACATCTCCTCTCTCTTATTATAATTAATTACCTCATTTTGCATTCCGCGTGATAGGAATAAATAAATAAAGATTTATCAAGGATTACTAGTCTCCTTATCGTAAGTGATGAATCTTTTAAATAGAAAACAAATCACAACAAACTTTTAAAGAGTATAAACAAAATTACTTCATTTTGGCTTTCGATACATATTTGCTTAATAATCTTTAAGAGTTGCGAACTAAACTGCTTTGGATAGTTGCTAACAAATACATTACATAGTTTCAGTACAGCATTTTGTCGAGCACCTGGTCTGCACGCATGGGGTCACTAATTTTACAATTAGCTTATTGTAAATTCCCTAAAAGGAACATGATGCATCTTCTGTAAAGCATTCTTGGGCACATTTCTACTCATGGTACAATGTGCAAGCTTCAAAATAAAAGTTTTGGGATGCCTAAAAGTTCGATAGCTTCACCAACATATGAACTTGTAACAGTCATCTATCTAGTCCACTATATTGGGGACCATCTCTCCTGGCACTACACTAGAAGATTCTTTACCATTAGAACTGTGAATAATTTCTTTCCATTTCTAAGCATGCCCTTGAACTTGTGGTAACAACCAAATATGACTATGGAATAGTGTTTCAATCGACCTCCAAAACCAAAGCATGCTATGAAATCAAAGATTATGGATGAATAGATATGAAGAAATCAAATTAAAATAACAAAGTACATAATAAGAATGAAAAGGCGAATGGTCCAATAAATAGATTCTTCCACACAACTCAAGTGTTCTCATGGGTTTTGGTGGGATTTGAGATAGGTTTAGTATTTATAATTCACACTAAAAACTCTCATACAATTCCACATTTAAAAAAGTCCTTTGAAATTAGCGAGATTTTGAATACCATAAGAATTTTTGTCACTTGATTAAAGTCATAATTGAATACCACTAGATTTGGTCACTCTCTTCTAAAAATCCTAATAGTTTTAATGGAATACCACAAAACTATTTTATATCATTTTAAAGTTTTAATTGAATACCAAAAAACTTATTTATCTCAAAATAATATTTTAAAATTTCAATTAAATACACCGGTAAATCAACCTATACATGAAGCACGTTTAATATATTAACATTAAGCAACTTTTTTCTTTCTTGGCTTGGACTTTAAGCACATTATTGACTTTGGAGGAGATCAACTTCTCTTTCTTTCTTCACCAATTTTGTAATGACCCGGTTGCCCTCTCAAATTTCTCCCTTCTTTTTCCTCCCGCGTGTATGAATGTCAAATCTGATATTTTGGAAAACATCTCCTCTTTCTTATTATAATTAATTACCTCATTTTGCATTCCACATAATAGGAATAAATTAAAAAAGATTTCTCAAGGATTACCAGTCTCCTTATCTTAAGTGATGGATCTTTTTGAAAAAGCCTAGCTAAACAGTATCTTGGATGTATACTGCGGGTACTTGGTATAAGTTTCCATTGTTAATAATTATTGTTGGAATAAGTCGAATCAAACTTGAACTACTCCTATATGGCTTTAACTACTAAGTATTCAAAGCTTATTTGGACTACGTACATGATCAATTTTAAAAGTTAAAAATTAATCTCTTTTAGTCATTTACATAATAATGTATGAAAATCAAACAGTCACAATGTAATACACGTGCTTTTGGTTGCTGATCCAGATCAATTCAACTTTTTGTAGCGTTTGGTCACTGTAAAAGTTGTATCTATATTCGACACTTTAGTTGCTTTGTACTTGTTTTTGTTTATCTTATTAATAAAATGCTATCGTTGTTTTATAAAGAACGAAAAGAAAGTAATATATATGTTTGCATATTCTGCTGCTGAATCAGTCAATTCTTTTTAGTCATCATAAACATATATGTAGTTCAATGAGCAGGAAGTCACATGGCAAAAACTCAGATTATCAACATATTGCAGCGCTTAACCAGACTTTGAAATTAACTTGTGAGAGTTGTATTTGTGACAAGTCAAAGTGCGGCTAAGTCCTAAGAGAAAATATTGGTCAAAGCAAGAAAAAAACCTAGACGACCAGGCACATATATTCAAATTAATAGTACCTTACCGCGCTATAAAGTCCATGTTGAATCTGTCTCCCCGGATTTAGATTTCGTTCCTGCTTCCTCACCTGGAACCATTTCGCGTATACGTGTCTGAATTGGCGTTCTAATTTTTCCTCTCTCGTTTTTTATTAGTCAAACAAGCTCACCATAAATTTCATCTATAAATACCGAACCCCACTCTACCCAACTTCATAACTCGAAAATCCTCGACCCATTAGCTACCTATACCACAAAACAAAAAACCAGTGACTTTAGTTGTTGAGTTTTAGTCATGGCCAGAGAAATCAAGCTCCAGCGTTTCCTCGTTCCCCTACTTGTTCTGAGCTTCGTTTTGCTAGCTGTTGCCATAGAAGCCCGTCCTCTTCCACATCATTATAAGAATCATCACCACCACGGCCACCAGCTCCACCACAACCCGAGGAAGGCCGGTCCGAGCCCGGGAGGGGTTGGCCATTACTTCGGTGATGTTCTTGCCCTCTGGGGAGTCAAGAATTCTGGTCCAAGCCCCGGTGAAGGCCACTAATGTTCGAATCTTTAGTTTGTTTGTTTGTCCCTCATATGGTGCACAGAAATGAAGTTGTGCTAGCTACTTTAGTATTTAGGGCTCAAATATCCAGTTAGCACAGCCCGTGTTATACTTGTTGAAAAAAGTTGCATTCTTTAATTTCTTCATCATTCTAATACAAAGCCTATATCTTTCTTTCAAGATACGTAATTTTTACTTTTTGTCCTTTATTTTGAATTTTGTTTATTTTGGCCATGTTTGTTTAAGTAAAGATTTTGATGAAGCTTGTGACCCCAACTGTTTTCGCCTGGCTCTATAATAGTAGAAATGAAATCGAGATGAATGAGAAGAAAAAAAATAATAATTTGGGTAAGGGTCCACTAAGAGGACCTATACGACTTATAGATGATCCTGCCACTGAATCACTGATAAACTTTAGGGCAATATTGACTTTTCAGATTTCAGTTCCGCTCACCGATTTGGAAGATGTTAAGTTTTAGCTTAGATCCTAAAATATATTTTTTATATAAATATTAAAATTTAAAGCGTATAGCCGTACGGCTATACCCTTTAAATATATTCAAATATTTTAACAATACAGCCGGGCTGCTAAGCGTATCGCCGCGCGGCTGTACTCTTCAAATATATTCGAATATTTTAAACGTATAGCCGCACGGCTATACTACACAAAATGGTTTTCTCTTTTGTAATTAAGTAATATCTTAGCATTTTTTTTAATTCCTTTAATTAGTAATTATGTTTAATTATTATTTCTTTAGTGATTAATTAGTATTTAAATATTTTACTAATTTCATAAATTACTTAACAAATAGTAATTAATTATTTTAAATTATTTTGTAAACCTTATTTTTTATTTTTTTATGTACAAAATTAGTTTGTTTAGTTTAATATTTGCAATGAAGTAATATATTAGCCTTATTTAATTATATTAATTATTAATTATTGTTATTTAATGAATAAATAGTATTTTAATTAATTTCATAAATTACTTAATAAATACTAATTAATTATATATACTTATCTAAAATAAATTTGTGGATTTTAAAATTATTTTAAAATTACGAATATATTTTTAAAATAATTTTAATAATTATAAAATTATTTAGTATTCCAAAAATGAATTTGAACCTCCAATCCTTAAATCCAAGTCTCAAACATTAACCTAATCACAAGACTACTGGGAGAAGAAGAAAGAATAATTTGGGTAATGGTCCACTAAGGGGACCTATACGACTTGTTAGGTGATCGTGCCACTGAATCACCGATAAACTTCAGGTTTCAAAGTCATTTCTGCTCAAAGTGACTCGATTTGGAAGATGTTAAGTTTTAGCTTTGACCCAGATTGCTTTGAGCCGGTGTTTGACCGTTTGATAAAATCCTACCTACGCTATCATTGCGACCCCACTCACTGTGGTTTAAGAATGAGAACCAAGAGATTAAATTAATTTCCTGTTAATTTCAATGAGCTCTAAAATCAGGACTAGCTTGATTCTTTGGATTTCTAAATAAAGGAAAACACACATCTAACTTAGCTAGCTTGGCAATATAAAACTTAAACATTTCCTTGAGAAAATAAGGAAAGGAACTATAAGAAACAGCAAAGCCCTACAACTCATCCTCACACCTCCCATACAACATAAAGGATATTTTTGTGTTCCTTGATGGACAGTCAATAACCAGAGGAATTATAACCCATATAGTTGAAGCGCGGTCGAATGTTGTGGTGATTGTATCTCGAATCTCCATAGTCTACAGCCTTTATCACCACGGCTTCACGTCGTCCATCCTGTTCTTGAACTGCCCCAAACACAATCTCATTTGTCTCGCTGCTCTTCTCGTAGAATGTTTTCGGGCTTGATGAGTATTGCCTGTGATGCTGCTGCTGTCGGTGTTGCTGCTGCTGCTGCTGCATCTGCATCCGATGTTGTTCCTGTTGCTGCATCTGCATCTGATGTTGTTGCTGCTGCTGCTGCTGCTGCATCTGCATCTGCATCTGATGTTGTTGCTGTTGGTGATATTCACCATCCCATGAATTATAGTACGCTTGACTTTGCTTCAAATGGTGGGACTTCTCCAGGTCTTTGGTCATGAAGGGGTAGGTTTTCTTTGGGGTTGGGCTTCTGGTTTCTATTGACGGCGGCTCATCTTCATCTGGAATCACAAAGCTCTCTTGCATAGGCCATGCATTTGAATGTTTGTTGGCTTGATGATACTGCTGCTGAATCTGATAATGCATGGGCTTTCTTCTAAATCCCATAAACAACCCCCCCAAGATTTCAGCCACAGATGAGCCAGTGTTAACGGCAAACTTCCCTAGTGAACCAAAGAAACCATCATCTAGTTTTTCTGGTTCATCTTCAGGTGGAATTAAAGGGGGCCTGATAGATTTAGGAGGCCTCTGATATGGTGCCATTGGTGCATCTCTCTTCATAGGAGTTCTTCGATCCTGTAGAATCAAAATAATTTGGAATTGGGTTGAAATATTGAAGACAAGGTCAAACAAGAAACCTGTGATGGCTTACCTCATCTGAAGAAAACATTGCTTGCACCCTACGCTGCAGCAATGCCAGCATGTAACCAAAGAAGGCAGCTGCAATCAGCATTGCTATTCCTGCAATGATGGACGACAAATTTTATATACCTGCATCACCTAAAGCAAATCAAAGGGTTGAAATTTCAAGCTGTTTAGTTATACCTAAATGGAAACTTCCATCATAGCGGTCAGTACAGTCATCATAGTGTAGTTGGATCTCTCGAATTGCCTGGTTTCCTCTGTCTATAACCAAAAGAGAGCAGCTACTGCCAATGTATACCACGTCAAAATCACTAGAAAACTTTGCATCTTCACTTGGACCATCAACATGACCACCTCCTCTGCCCCATTTTCCACCAGCAATTGTCGTGACCCCTGTAGAAAGGAAAATTTAATTCAAATTGATCTAAAAGCCTGTTCCTGTTGGTGACATAAGTTTTTCTTGCCATTACATAACTTGAACACCATGATAACAGAAGAAAGAGGCCATTCCTTAACCAAAATAATGCCTTGAACATCCAGAGACTTACCGGCATCACTTATCTTCCTGATAACCATATTCATTGTGTCTGCAACATAAATATTTCCTCTGTCATCCACAGTCAGCCCTTTGGGATGGTTCATTCTTGCTTCTCTTGGCCTCCCATCCACATGCCCAGAGTACCCTTCAGGTGATCCAGCAATCAGCTTGGGTCGGCTATCTGCATATCATCCTCTCATTCAGCATATAAAAGAATGATAGGCTATACCGAAATATTTCAACAGATAACAAGCATTTAATAGGCAACTGATGAAGAAATTTTTTCCTTGTAGAAAGTGAGAAGATTTTAAGAGTGCAGAACTCAATTTGTTTGTGTATCTGACCAATATAAAATCAAAGAAATATGGAAGTTCATCTTTTCTTTATTTTCTTTTATATTTTGATAATTGATTATCTTAACAATGCAAATGAAGCTGAAATTATGAAAGAAAAAGTGTCATTGGGAATCATTAACCAATAAATAACGAAACAAGTTTCCCATGTGAAAGCACACAAAGTCCTTTAATCTAGGTTAGGGAAATGAAAAAGAAATATAAGATGGGTAAACAAAAAACTCTAACTGGTCATTAGCGAATCCTGGTCACAAACCAAAAGAAAAAGATAGAAAATCTCCAAAAAGATAGCACTTGATTATCCAGAAAGTAGAGTCTTCCACTAAACAAAAGCATATAAAAGCAGCAACAGTAAAAAGTGAATTTGGAATTTGGCTAGAGGTGAAGGCAAGAAAGGAATCAGAAAACAATGTCCTAAGTACATCAAGCCAAACAGAAAGTTCAACTATTAGGATGAGCTAGAGTTGGGTCCCTGGATATACATTAGTGGTAGCAAACAAGAGATGCAGAGACTTAATAGCATAATCCAAAAATTAACGTAGCAAAAGTGGCTTACACCGAGACAATGGCGTTGAGATCTTGTAGATGTTGCTATTTTCAGAATCCAACACCAGAAGGTCTCCACTTGGGGATACCTCAACTGTGTGTGGTTCAATTCCAAGCTTACTTCCATCAAACACCGTATCCACCGTATAGTCACCCTCAAATTTCACCATTGAACGGCCAGAAACAGCTGAGAAATTTGAAAACCTCCCATCACCATTGCAAAACAACATACTATCTAATTACCACATTAACAACCTCAAAATCGGGGACCATTGGAAAATGTACCTGTGCCGGTTTTGGTGGTGGATTTGAGTGACCAAAGCCATTTGACAAGAGCAGAGACCACATTGGAGACAACCCCAGTTACAATTTCTGCATATATTTAGGAAAATACAAAAGTACCGGATAAAGAAGATGACACATTTGAATCAGCGTGTGATCAAAATGCAAACTTTAACTTAAAATGGGCGTATGCTTGTCAATACTCACTTGCAGGAGGACTGGCTGATGCGGATGAAAAGTCCCCGGAGAGAACCACACAAATCAGAACCAGTGCAACCCAGTTCCTCGCCATTGTTGTTGCTGATCAGAGTTGAACATCAAAGAACAGAATACTCCCACCTGAGGATTGAAGCTCTGAACTTGTAGGAAACCTACTTAAGTAGGAGACCCCACAGACAATGTTCTGCCACTTTTTCTACGTGTTAATCAGTATGAAACCTTTTTCAGAGAGAGAAGGTAAAAGAGACAAAGAGGGTATAAGGAATTTGGAAGGTTTGGTAGTAAACACAATGGAGCTCTGTGCAAGGGAAAAGAAAAGGTAAAGGCAAAAGAGGTAGAGAGAGAGAGAGAGTGGTCTCACTGCTGTGGAAAGCCAGCAAGAGGGAATCATATACTCTGTTTTTTGTCTTAAATTTATATTAACTAAGTTGGGTTTATTTTTAACATCTGGATTTTAGCAGACTGAAAGAGCTGGGGCGAGCTTTCTAATTAATTATAGTTGGTGGTGTTGGTGTTAATCACTTCACTTTCCCCCAGAAAATGTTATCATAGCCAGGGGCATTAGTGTCATTTTAATCACGAGGCTGTGGTTAGTTGTTCATGTTCCTTCCTAAATTTGGGAGAAGCAAGCATAGCATCATCATCATCAGATGATGTTATGCAATTTTGGAACAGCCGGAGAACATACTGAAAAACTGTGACTTGTAGGCTGTACGCCTGCAAGTAGCCTACTACAAGTTACTTCAATTATATGTTCCTTTGGTGCTTTGTTTATTGCTGTTGTCTTTTTGTTTCTTCACCCTCATCTCTCATCTCTGATCTCTCATCATGTGCTTTAGAACCCATTCGTTATAATAACAAACCAAAGTGGTCTGTCGCGGTCGTGAGAATGTTTTTAATCTTCTTTGTTTTTCCTTTAATGGTCAACAAAATCACCTTCTTTTTCTTACCTAATTCTTTTGCTTCTGGCCTTCTGGGATTCTTATGGGGCAGGGCAGGGCTTGGCTTGTAACGTTTGGATTACGCTACCTCTAGTCATGCTTTCCATCCATCGCAGCATCATCACATTTCTTTATGCATCTTTGATATTTCCAAGTCAAGAATCTATCCATCTTTGAGTACTCTAATGATGAACAACGATAATGGGCAGAAAAAACTTTACAACCTTGTAGGATTTTCATTAAACCCAAATGAAAAGCCCAAAATTTGGCCCAATTCTCTTATTGATGCAGCATATGTTTACTTGGGAAAGCACGAAGGGCGGGCCATGACCGTGATACTATCTCAAATGCAAACCCCAGAAGCATCAGCGCTTCCATTGCCTAAGAGCTCTAGAAGTTTTTACAGTGTAAGGGCAGCATAAAAATGCCATGATCTATCATATACAATATGACTGAAACAGCAAAAAGATAAGAAAAAGAAAAGAAAGCAAAGAAAGCAAAGAAAGCATTGAGTACAAAGCTGTACCTACCGTATAACCAAAACTAAACATGGTAGACCATCCCTACCTCTAGAGTAGATGCACGAGGAATGCTTAAAGCATAAGTTGGCCCCCGAAAGTTTCTCCGCAAGAAATCATACCCGACATTGATCACTAGTTTCTTCATCAAATTGGATCCTCTCTTTGCCTTCACATATGAGTGGCCTAATATAAATGCCATTCCTGCCTCCCTTGCTTCCATCAGTTCCTGCAACTCCTCTACTGCCTCCCTATCAATTTGTGGAGACTCTGGAACAACAAATCTCACCCTCTTCTTGGGCTTTTCTGTAGGCCTTATCTCCTGCAACTCTGAGGTGCTTGCCATTTCAGAGAAATCTGCATCATCTACAGATATTCTTATGCCATCTAAATTTGATGATGAAGTCCCAACAACTGTCATTTTCTCATCGTCTTCCAGTTTTTCTAGACTGACATCACATTCTGGTCTCTCTGACCGAATGAATTCTGCAATACTACAAACGAGATCTCTTTCAAATTCAATGTCATCCTTGTGAACATCACGATAACCATAGCGTGCTATGCATCTATAGAGCCGGTATTCCTTAGGACCAACTCGTCCCACTAAGAATCTTTCCTCAGGTCCGACATGTGGGACTGGGACGGACTTGATGCAGAGGAAAACTACAACCTGGTGGAAAGCAGGGAGGTTGGTAACAAAGTGAGAGAAAATAGCTGGGATCCCAGAAACGAGCTCAGTATGTATAAGGCCAATCCCCCGGACCCTGACAATCCCCAGAGTAGGACCTAAACTGAGGAGCCAGTTGATGGAGACTTTATTTTGGACATCAAACTCATATTTCTTGAAAGTGCCATAGTGCCATACATACATAACCACTAAGAAGATGAATGAAAGAGCAATGGGGACCCAAGCCCCTTCACGAAACTTTATGAGCGATGCTGAGAAGTAGAGTGCCTCAATGGAGCCGAAGAATAATATAAAGCAAATTGCCAGGAAGATGCTTTTGTGCCAGCACAAGACTATGACTAGAGACATAAGGCAGGTAGTTACCAGCATGACAGTTATAACGGCCAAACCTATATAATAAAGGTAAAAGTTTCAGGATACAATAATGCGGTAAAAAACTTTAAACATGTAATAAGCATACTTGGTAGGATAATACATTACACACCATAAAAAAACCCAAACACACAAAATCAAAGGTTATGTAGAGTCTTGACCATGTGTTGGTATGTCCATGCAAACAAATATTGAAGTAAACTGTACCTGATGCATTGCCCATGGATTTTGTGTCTCTAAAACCAATGGTAACAGCCAAGCATAGCAACATTAATGTCCAGTTAATCTCTGGGATGTAAATTTGTCCATGTATTTTAGAAGATGTGTGGATAATCTTGACCCTTGGAAAGCAACCCAAAGAAGAACATTGTTTGATTATCGAAAAAGTTCCAGTTATGATGGCTTGACTTCCCACCACTGCAGCAAGTATGGCTATTGCCAAAACAGGCCATCTTATTTTCTCTGTGACAAGGAGAGAACTTTAATTAGGTTAATCTCAAAGTTAAAACTGCTGCAAGTATGGCTAGACACCTACCAGGAACTGATTCATAGAATCCAATCCGATAGTCACTCTGTATGACATGATGCTCAGAAAGGTATGCAGCTTGTCCCATATATGCTAGAATCAAGGATGGGTAAACCACAAAGGTGAAGGCAATCTGCAAGGCAAATGTGAAAGATTACTTAGTTAGTACAGATGAAAATCTCCACTTGACCAGTATAGATTATTCAGTTTGAATACCTTGATTGACAACTGTGAAAAGTGTCCAAGGTCAGCAAACATAGCTTCCGAGCCTTCAAAGACAAACAAGATAATGTCAGAGAAGGAAAGTAAGCATCCATGAAAAGAAGGTTCACTCTGCATACTCTTGTACCTGTCATGCACAACAGTATACCACCCAAGGACATCCAACCTCCCTTTTGGGTCTTCTTCAAAAATTTGTACATGTAATATGGAGAGAGTGCTTGATAAACTTGGGGATTCCAACGGAAGATGTTGTATACACCAATGGAACTGATGCAGAAAAGCCAAGTGATCACAACTGGGGCAAACAAGAACCCTACCCGATGGGTCCCGTAATGTTGAAGGGCAAACAAAAATACGAGTATAACACAAGCAACTGGGACTTCAACATCTGCACATAATCAATATGTTGAGTTCAAGTAAGAAATCATAACTTTTCAGGCATAACAGAATCCCCCATTAAGTTTCCTACCAGGTTGGTCAAAGTAGTGTACAGTTAAATCGGCTGTTGAAGCTTCAAAATAACTTTACAGAAAAAGTAATAAGCGTATATATATACAATAAATATTGACAAACAGCATTGAAACTAATAAGGCTACACTACTTGATCAAATGGCTGCTCAAAGTCCAATTGATAGAACAATTTTCTGTTTAGACAGCTTTTGTAACCCATTATTTAATTGTCATTGGAGAGCACATTGTCCACAAATAGCAAACACTAGAAAATTAAAGTTGGCAGGATCATCAACAAATGAGGTAATAGATAAAAGTCCACGTGGAAAGGATGCCAATTGTGAAACACACACACACACACACACACACACATATGTACAAGTACATGATATATGGCTGTATGCGAAGGGGATATTTGAAACTGGTAAAGTTCTGAAAGCAGAGGTGTAACTATATTGTCCACTGTGACTATGAAGGTGATGATTTAATTAGAACACTAGTGGCACTTGAAAATATAATCATAAGATGGTGACTTCATACTGGTTAATGAAATGTTTTAGCCATCAGCAAGTGGGTCAAGGCTTGGTCAAAAGTTATAATTATGTATACCTCTTAGGAGGGCTCCAGTCATAACTCTAACTCAATTCGACAAGTCTAGCTATGACAATATTGCCAACTAGATAGATGTCTACTCTAGATCACTCTTCAATTTTTATTATATTATTCAGAGTCTTATCCAAAATAAGTTACTTTCTCCTTCATCTTATAGCTACATCTTCTTCACTTTATAAAGAGACACGACTTTTTACTCTCAATAGTATATTCATGAAAGTTGAAACTATATTTTTTTTTCAATCACACGTTGCACCTTTACTTTTCTACAAAAACAAAGAATAATCAACTGTTTACCCCCACAAAAAAAATAGAGAAAAATCAACTGGGCGTTCCACACTAATCATTCTAATTATATTTTATTAGCTTGATAGTGATTTGACTTTAAATTAAGCAGGATAATTTGTCTTAATATTTGCAGGGTCCTACGACAGTGTTTTCATTTACTAAAATTAGGTATTGCCTCCTTGTCACTAGTTCACGTCTGTGCAGTAGAAAGGAAGAGAAAGCCTCTGAAATTTAGAACACTAAAAGTAAGATTTAGATACCTAACAATGATTTGCATCTGCTAACAGTCTCGTTGCAGATAATTGGGAATAGATGCAAAGAAATTATATGAAGCAGTGCAGCCAAAGCATCTTGGAATTAATATAGATGGCAGAATTTTCTCTACTGTGTTAGCAGTCTGTAATCCTGATTAGTCAATCTAATTTCAATTTCTAAGTTATTCTTTTAGCTCCTAACTGGAAAGTTAAGTTCCATCAAGATGGCAGAATGCCAGAGAACATCCACCACACAGCCAAAACCGGTTGTAATTAATATACTTATTAAACAGTATAACTGATTTGAAGGCGTGAAATGAAAGCTCCAGTAGAAAAGAACTTACATCGATGCTGCTCTTTTGACATGGAAAGCTCCAGACCCGAAACAGCCGAAAAAACTGCAGCCACATGAAGCAATTCTCATTATTGAAATCCCAATTGCACAACTTAAAAACCCAAAATTTCAATAATATCATAAACACCCAAGTACCAGAAATTG